GCAGGACATTCCCCCTGGAGGCTTAGGGACACCAGGTGCTGCTCTTAGCTCTACTGCTCGTTAGTCAAAGTTCACTCAGGAGGGACTGGGGTAGGGGAAGACAACAGAGTTCAGTTATAAATTGCCACATGAATGATTTAGAAGCCCAGTCTTCCACCTGGGTGGCAGATTTAAAATGATTTTGCCTTGATGGGAGAACAGGAAAACGTGTCGAAGACAAGAGGGTATTCAGCTTTGACCATCACCATCATGCTGGAAAAGCAGAACCACCAATATAGAAACATTGAAGGAACTGCTGTGTTTAGGGACAATCATGAATCCTCGGTAAGCTGGCAGTACCTTTTCTTGGGTTCTTTAAAGAGGGAATCTCTTTCCAGACAGTAGATTAGACTGCTCAAGACCTCAGGATTTCCTGGCATCAGATTTAGGAATGTCAGGAATTAGCAGTGCCAGTGTCATATTGCAGCTGCAGTGCCAGTGCCCTCCATAGTCTGGAGAGGACCACAGACCCCCTCATCACTCCTTTCTGAAGAATGGCTTCTGCATTTCATCTTGGACCTTGGTCTTCATTTTGAAGACCCAGATCCAATAAAACACTCCTACCCTTTGCAGTCTTTCATGTGTTTTGCCATCTCAGGGCTTTACTCTGTGAGAATCGCTCTCCAGAGTAGTCCCAGTACTTGACAACACACTTAAGCCATCCCCACACCACCCAGAACAGGCCATGTAACTCAGCTGGAAATAAGACCACTCCAATGTCTCATGCAACACTGACAACAGATTGTTTTACCACTCCACTCCAGCCATCCCAAGCCAGCACAGGACCTACCATGTAAGCCCATGTGGCCATCCCGGTATGGTGGTCCTTGCATGACAAACACAATGATCAGCAACACTAGACACATGCTAATGCTGTGCAATAAGAACACAGCCCATTGCTGTGTCACTAGATACTTCAAACAGACAAGAAGTGCCTTGTTTGTGCTGGCATTTTTCCACATCATCTAACTGAAACAGCTTGCATTAAACACAGAAGGTGCCAGGCCAAAATTAACTGAGGGAGGTGGGGGCTGCTGCCGCTGAACAGGTTTCCAGCTTTGCATGCAGAGCTTGTCCCCTTCCTCTGCTTCCAGGACTGCTGCTGCTACTTCCCCAGTCAGATCAGAGAAGTAATCTGGGGGAAAATGTAATTCTCAGGTATGAGGTTAGAACAGTTTCCAGCTGAAACAGTTCTGCAATAGCACACTGCATAATCAGGGTACAGCTGGTGATCTGCCAGTGCCATACATCAGCATTAGCCGATTTCTTTAAACTCAGATCATTAGGGCAGCATTACTCAGCAGTGTGTGACACTGACATGCCCCCCCCTACCCCTTCTCCCTGGCTTTTATTCATGTTTTCCTCTACCCAAGATCTCCCTGGTGTGAATGGGCACATTTCAGGGCAGTAACAGCTGTTGGTACTGCAGGGTTCACTGTGATGTAACAAAGCAATTCTGATGAAAATCTGGTATTACTAACAACCAGCTTCAACACAGAAAACACAACTCATTGTTTAGCAACTACAACACTTGGGTATTGGTTCAGACTTAATGGTAAGATCTCTAAACCAGGCTGAACATGTGACCTGTCATCATGGCAGGTACCATCCATGAGTGATGGCAGAGAACACAGCCTGTCCAACATCAGTGGGGTTGCTTCATCCAGAAAGGAGGGAACAGCAGTAGGAAGTGTTGGATTCAACCAGCAGTGTTCAGAGCTACACGCCCTATTACTTCGCAGCCTTACAAACCACCTCTGCAGTGGAACGTGAGTGGCTGTGATGTTGTACAGGTCACAGTCACAGCTGCATCAGGTAGAGGGGCTCTTCACTTGCACAGCCCTAAGAGAAGTGTATCAGAAATGCCAGGACAGCATGGTTTCTCTAAAGATGTAATGAAATTATACCAAAAGATGCAGTTCAGAGTCCACTGGGATTCCTTGTCTTTTAGTTATTGGAGAAGATGCAGTTTCCACTGTAGATTTTTATTGAGTTTTGGCGGAATAAGTAATTCTGGATCTGAAAGGCAAACAGAACAAGAGTCAGAACAGAGGGTAACAGCAATATAGTTTCTTCAGCAGATGTCAACTGCTCAGTTTCCTTTACATCAAAGGACATTGAGAAGTCTCTGACACATAGCATTTCACTTTAGTGATGTATCACCAGCCTGCACAGAATGGCACCCCCAGCAGAACTGCTTACACAAATCAATCACTGGGGCAAATGAAGTCCCCTCTCCATTAGGTGTTACCATTCAGAATGAGGAGGCAACAATCCATGGCAGAAAGTAGAACTCTGTTCATTCACCAATAGCTGTGACACCACACACAGCAGTCAGCTGGCTCTGTTAAGTGTGACTAAGAGGCACAAGGTTTTATCTGCAGCGAGTTCTGGTAAATGGCAATAGGCAGACTGCATCTAGAGGTTTATTAGAGGATTTCTCCAGCCAGTTCCAGGACCAGAAGGGGAAAAGGCTGTAGCGCTAATGGGGAAGAGGGAAGACAGAGCGAAGGTGGGACCAGCCCTTGCTAGGTACCTCAGCCCTAAGTTTGTACTAGCTGTGATGACTTGAGATGACAAAGCACCACGGCAGACTGTAGCCTGGCCTGGCTCTCAAAGCCAGATAGAAAAATTCAGTGGGTAAGATACAAGCAGAATTATCTAATGGATTCCCTAAGAAATTAGGGCTTCCAATTCCCTCACAAAAGACATTACACACAGAGGAAGCCAGGAGCACAATTCAGACAGTAGTTTTAGCACAGGACTTCAAAACCTCATTAAGACGGCTGCTAACTCGCCACAAGACAAGAGGGTACCCCATAAAGAAAAGCAAGAAACTTCTACAACTGAATAAATGCTGTAACTGTTGGCAGGTAGCAGTGCTTGAAGATCCTCAAAGCCCATTGACATCACTCACATTTCACACACCAAATTCAGAGCCTCAACTAACCTTGTACAACAGGAGCCACCATCATCTTCTGCTGATAGGCAGCCATAATGCTATTTGCAGTTGAATTGGGGCCCAGGACCTGTGTGAAGAAGCAATACTTATGTTCCAACCTGCACAAAACAAGGCTGAGAGCAGGGATACCTACAAAGAAAACTCTGCCGTTAGTCTCCAGAAGCGGCTGCCTCCAGGAGACCTCACAGTACAAACTGATCAGGAATATGTGATCAAAGCTCAGTAATGTCTCAAAAACGTTGACACAGAGGCAGAAAGAAAGAACTGCTTGTGGACAGCTTCTCAGGACACATAACTCTTATTCCAAGCACCCACTTCTTCACAGCACTGTGTCATGACTTAGCAGGACTACTCTCATTAAAGTGCCAGCAATATTTAAAGTTCAGTAGTTAGCAAGTTGATTATTGGGGAGTATCTTGTGTTCACCAGGAATGCTCAGAAATTACTTACTAGAAACAAAGACTTTTACTTTGGAAGGGAACTAAAAGCAGTCCTTGTGATTACCTTATTCTCCATTAAGCTGAAGCTTAGAAGTCTGACATATCCCTTATTTTTGCAACATACTCCTTATGATATACAAGTTAAGACTAAAGTCTGGTAGCTTTTTACTTCACACCACCAGATTGGAGAACCACTGTTGAACATAAAACCTATGCTAACACTTCTTTTTTAGTCCTGATGGTTGAAAAGATTATCCGTATATTCTACGAACTGCTTAAGATCTTATGAAAAGAAATCCCCACCAGGACAAGGTAACATAAGCCTTATGAGACCTCATCATGACCTATGTAGCACAAGGGACGCAGCAAGCTATACCTGCTGTACCCATCTAGAGCATACCGACTTCGCAGGTACTACACAGAGTATCCACCTGACCTCTACACAAAGAAAAAACAACAGATTTGGAAAGCCAGAGGAAGGATTCCAGTGTCTTTGCTAGAGAATGCAAAATACTCCTAAAATACTAGGTATTTTATAGCAGGTGTGATGGCTATTGCAGATGAGCACAGACCGGGTTGATGAAGCTCTGCTGCAGCTCCGGAGTCCATATTTCTGGGATGGAGGTCTCCATCAACTGCAAAACCTCTTCTAGGACTTGCTGCAGTGCCCCAGCTTGCTCATCATAACCAAACAGCACGAGCTGCTTCAGAAGGAAGTGTATGTCTCCTGCAGGAGGAAACAGAAGCACAAGCAATAGCAATAAACACAGGGATGCTAAAGACACAGCTGTATTTCACAGAATCACAGAATCACAGAA